TAAAAGAAAGTAGGCAGGAGGCTAACAGCAGTTGCCCATGACCAATAGCCTGAGGGTTTTGGGCGTGGTGCCTAGATCAGCCCAGGAATTGCCTGCAAGCATCCAAGAGGAGCACCGCACTACTTGTGGGTGAAGCTGTGTCCTATTTGGATACTCGCCAGGATACAGAGAAATTCTGCTATATAAACCTATGTCAGGAGCTGGAAAATCAGTTCTCTGGCGAGTTCTTCAACCAGCCTCATGAAGTCTCCAACCATGCAACTCAACAACCTAGACTCTGCCATGAAGGTTCCAACTCTGCAGTAAGTATCTCTCTCTCTAGATTAGCTTTTGTATAGTATATGATTTTATGGAAGAAGTGTTATTAATGTTTAAGTGTTAAGGAGTTAAGTATTAACTATTATGTCATGTGTATTAAAGATTAATAAAAGTTATTTGTGAATAGTATTGCTGGTCTGAGATTCACATTCTTTACTCTAACTGTAAACTCATGGAATTAGCGACTTGTGGCTCCACTCGTCACGACAAATCCTCCAACAAATAAATTTGGTGTACAGGTTGGTTTTAATTGAAACTCCAACAATTAAGCTCACCTGAGCGCTAACCTGTTACAATACCACTTAAAAACAATTTATCTATATAATTCAAACATCAATTAAGAACTATAATCCATATAACTTTAGTGGTTTCAAAACTTAATACTGCTTATTATGGGCATGTTGTTTTCTCTGCTGGTTATTTAACATCTATTTTCTTTAAACTGAATAAAGATCAATAATATTTACATCCGTATAACATATAAAACTCAGTGTTTGTATGTGTGTGTCATATAATTCCTCCTAAATCACTGGTCACACCAGCTTCTAAGTGGTACCAAACAAATGGTCTCTGTCCCAAGGTTTGCTCAAAGGTAAAAATTTTCACCCCACCTCTTAGGTAACCTGGGGATTCCCCCCAAACCCCTTCTCTTAAACTGCTGGACTCACTAATTTCGAAATGGTACCAAGTAACTTGTCTCTGCTCCAAGGTTTACACAAAGGTAAAACTTTTTACCAAACCCCTTAGGGAACCAAGGTATTTTGCAAAAACACTTTTAGGAGAATTTTCCATAAGTGGACCCCAAATTTGTCATTGATTTAAGTAAGCCTACTAATTACCATTCGAATCTTGGTTAAAACGATGGTTACAAGAGTATTCCCAAGTTGTATAGCTAGTAACCAACAAAGCAACCATGAAATTAATCATATTATAACTTTTGATAACATACACATATATTCACAAAACTTTGCTGACTGTAAAAAACATTCTCAAGCATTTGTTCACACAGAAAAATCAATTTTTTTAATTAAGTATTTTAACTAAAGATTTCTTCATGATTTTGCTCGTGACTTTTTGCATTCAGAATGTTGACTATCTGATACAAAGTTATTTTGATTTTATGATTAAAAATACTTTTCCTCGTATGAAAAATCTCTGAACCCTACTAAATATATATCAAACATTTTTCTTTCAGTAAATCTAAATTTAATCTCTTATTTGCTCTACCATAACAGTATACTTGACTCTTCATGCTATGGACAAGTTATCAAGCTGTAGTGAAAAGAAAGGTTGTCAAATGCAAAATAAAATATACAGTTCTGTTAGTATTGACCACAAGGTTCCAAAGTACTTGTTTTCACAGTTTATACTTCTAACCTTTTCACATCTGTTTCCACTATATATTTTACTATTAGTGACACATTTTGATAGTTGCTGAACCTAAGGCAATGATTTACCATATGTGCCATTACTGTTTCCGCAGGCTGTAGTGAGGTACTTTTGAAAGTAAACAAGCATGCTCAGACTAATACAATAGCACTTTGAATGTGTGTAAATTTTATGATAAAACTGAAATAAACTTCAAAGATATATAGGCTACTAGCTTTCAAACCTCAAGGGTTGTGCCAAACTTAGCAGTATATGTGTACAAAGTAATTAATGTACATCCTTATAAATTTCCTATTTGTCAATGCTTACACATCAGCTACTAGTAATATAAGAATGGTCCATTTTGTGTCAGCTAACATTTCTAACTTTTGCATCTTATTTTTTATCAGCCAGTTTTAGTTTGTCCGTGTGTACCTCCTACTAACTACAAGTAAGTATACATTATTGATAACATATACAGAATCTCTGTTCAATAATTTCGATAAATAGTTGTTGATCAAAATCTAATGTAGTTGTTTCTCTATTTTAGCATAACATGTACTGCTTCTGAAACCTATGATACACATCACAGAATATATTGTAACATAAATGTTTTTTTTTTCAGTTAACAACTCTCTTGTGAAGTTCAACTTCTAAACAGTTATCACACACATTCATCGTTGATTAGTGGTTCTTACCTAGAAGTAAGTAACTATTCTACATATGCAGAATCTCCTTTCAATAGTTTTAGAACAATTCTTTATCAAAATCTAGTGTAGCCATTTCTCTATTTTAGCATAATGTGTATTGCTTCTGAAACCTATGGTACACATAAGAGAATATATGTACATGTACCAGAATTATATAAAAAATGGAAGAAATATAATGATACACAATAAATGTAAGTAACAGTCTTTTTTTCCTTCTAAAAATGGAATCTGAAAAAGAAAGAACTGAAGAACTGAGAAAGAGGGAAGTCCTGACTCAAGAGGAAGCAGAGTTCCTCTTAAATGTTTCCTTTTTGTCTGATGAAGGAGGTCTGTCAGAGGCATTTAAGGTTGAAGAATTTGATTCTACTCATTTGATGCCTCTGACAGAAGCCACGTACAGAAGTAAATGGCCAAAACATACTGAAAATGCTTCTTGATTCTGTCCTATGGACAGATAAGGATGTAGCTGGACCTTCATCAGAACCCCCAACAAAGAGAGGCAGGGCATGGAGGAATATGGGAAGAGGCAGCGGAGCTGGAGCCAAAAGTAGGACTGTTCCTTTCCATCAGGAAAGGCCTCTTTCCTGCAATGACACCTGGACCTGGGTAGAAGTCACTAAAGGGGAACAATCTCTCCTTTCAACATTTCACAGAGGTGAACCTGTTTCCAAACAGGTTACATCTGCAAAAAATGTTTTAGATTTTTTTTTATTTTGCTCAACAGAATTGTACATTTAATTATAACAGAAACAAGTAGATATACTAAAAACAAATGTGAAATTGGATCTAAATTTCCAAAAAAATTACCATAAAATGGACTGATCTTACTGTTGAGGATATTTTAGCATACTTTGGTCTTACTATAGCAATGGGTCTTAAGCCTTATTCTTTTGTTTCTGACTAGTGGTCTACTTATCCTCTTTTTCATACTCCTGGGTTTACTAACATCTTATCTAGGGGCAGGTTTTATGCTATTCATATATTCTTACAATTCAATAACAATACTAATGCTCTTCCTAAAACTGCTCCTAACTATGATAAATTTTTCAAAGTTAGAGCTATTATAGACCTTCTTCTGAAATCCTTTGAATCCCTCTACTCTCCTGACAGGGAACTATCAATAGATGAACAAATGTTGGGTACAAAATGTAAAATTGGTTTCCTCTAGTGACTACCTAATAAACCTGACAAGTGGGGTATCAAGTTGCAGGTCATGGCAGAAGCTGTGAGTGGATATTGTCTTAAGTTTAAAATCTATACAGGCAAAGAGGGACAAATGCCAGCTACAGGTCTCGCAGACAACATTGTGATGGGATTAATGGATAACTACAATGAACTACATCACAGAGTTTTCATGAACAACTTTTACACTTCCCCTCATTTATTTAACAAATTACTGGCTGTTGGAACTTACACTTGTGGGAAAGACAGAGGAGAAGCATGATCATTTAAATGTGGGACTTACACAGCTGTAAAATAGACTGACAAATATGTCATTTATGCTATTTATGCTTTCCACTCTAATACTATGACAACTGTGACAAGAAGAGGGAAGGATAATGAAATTACAAAACCTTAGTTAGTTGTGGACTACAAGAAGTTTATGGGGCAGGGAGGTGGACTTAAATGACCAACATATAAACTATTATTCAACTGAACGAAAAACAATAAAATGATATACGAAACTGTTTTTTTTTTACTTTTAGACTTGTCAATTTTGAATGCTTATATACTGTACAAAATGCAAACCAACCAGCCAGCACTGCCACAGAAGTCCTTCAGAATGTACCTGATTACTGATCTTGTTCAACCTTTACTTCAAAGCCGATTAGATCCTTCTCGTATATCAAGAACTTCATGGGAATCTTTACCTGTGAGACTCTCCTGGCAAGCATTATATTGTTGAGAGAAGTCAAAGGAAGAGATGAAGACTGTCAGAAACTGAATAGGGTACAGATGAAATGTAAATGCTGTAATGAGTTTTTGTGTATGAGACACTTTGAAGAATATCACACTAGTGCTGTTCTTCAAAGAAGTTCAAACTTTTACTTAATACATAACCAACACTGATGAAATGATCATATTTGATTTATTTTCCATATTCTAACATAATAACATTTGTCAAGATAAATTAATTATGAAAGTTTCTAAAGTATTGTTTATGTACTTGGTAAATGTTTGAATGGCTTCTGCTACTTTCATTTTACAGTTTCTCTAAAACTAACAAATATTTTAGACAGTGGCATCTCCCATTTGTGATTACTTTTTATCACTAACTATAAAAGGCCTATTCTGTTTGTCACTCTGTTGAGAATGTTTTCTTGCTTCTTTTTTGGTAATGCTCAACAATATACATTGTAACTTAGCAACAAAACTATCACCTGACTTTTCTTAGGCTAACTATGGTGCTTATGTGGAATGCTCAATATTCATGTTGATCTGTTAGAAAGGTTTGTTTTTTATTCTTTATTTTTTTGATAACTTCTGAGATATAACAGCAAAATAAAATTTACCAAGCATTGTTTCAGCTAAGCCTTACCTTACATTTATGTATTAAGCCTAATACTAAAATATAGGCCTATAATTACTAACATTATGGTCACTGTTTAAAAAGTTTTAAGTGGTGAATAAATGTTAATTAATAAATATTATTTTGGTATATTAATACATATATTATCTACTTGGCCTTAAAACAAAGAGAAATAAATGTTTATTACTACCAAATATCTTTTATCCTTTGTATAGTTGTAAGAGTTCAAAATTTATGTCAGAATGATTGCACTATGTTTTCCACTTCCTGACCT